CAATAGGGCTCCAGGTCTCACTGTTTTAATAAAAGGAGCTCTCCCCCGGGCCAGTTGCCAGTAAAACGACTGGCTCTGTTTCATGTGAGCGAGAGAGATGGCCTATAAGGGCCTTTTTCAGGCTGCAATCAATCAGCCACATTTTCTGACTGTTTTTCAATTATGCATGCTCAGGCTCAGGAGTGAGGAGGCCAGGCAAGGTTTCACTTTAAGTTTTCAACTTTGAAAAATAAGTTCACATTAAGATTACAAATCAGCAACACACACACACACAATGGAGTGGCTCGGGTCCTGTCAGGGTCGGTGATTTCTAAGGAAAAATGTCGCTGAAATTACCCTTTTTATTTGTCGTCAATTAAGAGAAAATCAATTTCATTGCCTGTAAGACAATTTAGATACACTCAATTCCCAGCTGTTGTAAAGCAAAGCTGCAGAGTGACTTATTAAAATTGCTGACACCACATGCTTGACATTATCAGCTAGCTGACATGATGCAAAGTCCTGGAGGCTTTTAGTTTGGCTGTGAATAGTTTTTAGTTGGTGTTTCAAGCAGCAATTTGTCCCTATCACGGTGGATTGTTTTCCCCCTTTGGGACAAATCACTCTGATATCTCTGCCTCTCTATCTCTGTTTCTGGCCACAGTTTATCTGCAATGGCATAACAGCTCATTCCACTGCCTCCTAACTTTATAATTATCTTGTACCTCCTGATAAAACGCTCTGAAGCATATACCGCTGTACATTCTTAACATGTTTTATTTGTTATCTTTGTCATCTTTCACAGGTTACTTTGTTAAAGAATATGGTCTTACAGAAGTATTGCCTTCAATCACATGCACAGATCAACTTGAATCCCTTCAGTACAGAAATAAAGCAGCAATGATAAACCAAGATATCCTGAGTAGATACTTGAGGTTAAGTTTGAACTTGCTCTGTGTTTTTGTGCACATGTGAAAAGCCTTTTGTTCAGTTTCTAGCAGACCTAACAGTCACACACTTGCTTACAAAGTATTTGCTTTTACTCAGTTCTGTGACATTCACTGCTATTTGAGTGAATGGGGCTCATTGGCTTGCTTGGTTGCCTTTTAGCAAGCACTTTAGGAACATAAAGTTTAACTAGACACTTTACATCACTCTTCACCTTTATGTCATTGGTGCATAATAAACTAAATTGAACAAATCTAAACTTGAAACATTTATTGTATTTGGTCTAAAGTGATCTTGAATCAATGGTATTGATTCTCCATCCCTCAAAGCCATTGCAACAGCTTTTTTGTATTAAACACTTTATCACCAATCTCAGTTTGTCTGTGTCTTCATGAAAGACATGCTTGTACTTGTATCCATACAAATTCATGATGACCTTTTTACAATTCCCAAGTCAAGTCTCCAATGTTAAATGTCAAGCATTTCCTATTCAAACCAAGACAAGGTATTTTCCTGTATACATTCAATTCATCCAGTAACACTCCTCAACAGTAGAGCTTACCATTGTTAAGAGAAAGGCTTCTGGCCTAAGGGTGCTGATACATCTTTCCTCCTTCAAACACCTTTGTATGTCTAAAGCTGACTAAGTGGTCAAATCAGATAGAAAAGGCATGAAGGGTGCATTGAATCGGCCTGTTTAAACCTTTGTTCAAGTGCCATGGTAAGAAAAAGCTAAGCATCTGTGTAGTCAAACAAAATAACAGTTGAGGGGAAAATATAGAGCAATTATACGTACCCACAACAATTTTAAATTATACATTTCTATGAAAAAAATAAATATGACATTAAGTAGATGGAAGAAAACGTAGGTACATTTGTAAATTAGTAATATGGGAGATAAGCTGACCCTAAACATTGAATAAGAGCGTGACATTTTACAAACATTTGAATATTCAAGATCCATTTATATGTTTGTATTAAAAACGTTTGCAATGTGTGGTACTGTAATGTCGAGTTTCCCTGATCTTTAGAGTATATTTTTTTATTCAAGCATTACATATTTACCTTATTTTACCTTAATTTACTGCAGTTTTCTGTATGCCCAACACATTTAATTGGTTATAGCCTCATGCATGATGGGCAATATCACATCTAATCAAAATCAATTTGTTTGACTGCAATGCGACAATTACACCTTGAGGGAAGAGCAGATTAAATCCTGTCATCTTTGGATGATTGAATTAGAACATGTTATTAAAAAGGATAATGAGTATGTGAAAGCAAACATTAGGCTTTGATTACTACTCTCATCAAGAGGTAATATTAAGCTAAGTGCAAAACAGCGTATTAAATGCACAAAGCTTATCAGGCAAAGCGTGTAGGTAAATTAACCAGCAGCCCTATCGCAACTCTCAGTGCTGTGTTTGCCTATAAAGTAGTGGTTTTCCAGCCATTAACTACAATTGGAATCTCTTCTCTCTGACCAGAATGGGGATGTGGTGTGTGGCTAAATGTGCCTATTTGCATATGTGTGTTTGATGTAGTCAGTTCACTTTTTAAAACAAAAATAATAGTGCTGTGAATGTGTCGATAATTAAAAGCTCCATTCATTTCAGTCCTTACCTTCCACTTGCATCATTTGGTTGTCCCTGTGAAAACATGTTGATTATAATGCTTGCCTCATACCAGGAGACATTATCGGGTCAAAAGTAATAGTCATTTTTTGTAACAATTCGTTAACCAGACTACAAGCTAAATGTTTTTTATAACAGCCCTAAAATAAAGCACACACAAAGGCAAACCCTGCAGCTAGTCTGATGCTGCATTGTAAGCAAAGTGATTTGAGAGCCCTTTTTCCCAGGCAGGTAATTTGATTCTTGGAGGTCGATGTTGGCTGGTGTTAGGGGTCGCCCATGTAGCGAGTCCCCACTCTAATAAAACCAGAGAGCCGTGCGGGACCAGGAGGCTAAAAACCCCCATTAACTTCTCTCCCATCAACATGGGGACAGGTAACCTCATGACCCTGCAAAGCTGCCTTACGCCCCCATCATGTGACCTGGGAGCTGCAGAGCTGATGACTAGGCAGCTAAAGTCAGACGTTATTTTAAGAGAACACCTGAAGGTATAAGGGAAAAATAGACTTTTAGTTTGTCAATTTTTTTCCTGCCTGTGTTGAGGATAACATTTTGTGAGCAAAATGGCTTGACAATTAACCATAATTTCTCATTATATTTAAATAAAAATGCTCTTTGTAGTTCATTGACCAACAGATTACTTCCACTGTATTTAGAATAAATAATGGCTGAATGTATTTGAAGCATTTTGAAATTAAAATGTATTGTCCATTGGTCTTTTCTCGTACAACAGTAAGGATTGACCAAGTGGTGGAAGGAGAATACATTGATGCCGGAGAAAATAATTTAGCCAGTGTATGTTTTATTTGATATTGCAAATCAACAACAAGCTGTCCAGGTTGTTTTTTCAATTTAAACAATGAGCTTCCCTTTTAATCTATAGAGATATTCAAATAAGGCACACGTGTTTAAAAAACTCAATTTATTACAATAATGGTCCTCGTATATCAGGAATATTGCTTGTTTAGGGTATTTAAAATATCACTCCCTTAAATAAAGAAAACCCCCCTTTCTATGCAAAATGGTACAGCCTGAATTACCTCTGTAAAACCCAATGGAAGCTCTCTTTTCCTATTGGGAAGATTGGACACATGACCAGCAGGTCAAATGGATGGGAGCGAATGCTTATACATAGATTGAGTGCTTATTTTACATTTAAGTATGTGAATGACAATATACCAATTGAAATAACTATGAATTAGTTATGTTAGTGGGTTAGCATGCTATACCCACGTGCTCACAAGTTAGTACCGTGACAACCACCTCCTGGCTAGATATACACTGCAGTGTTTCCCTTACCATTGTCTTGGAGGGGCGCTGCGCCCCGCCAACGGAGCCCCACGCCCCCCCTGAAATTCAAGGTGTTTTTTTAATTAAATTTTCTTTTATTTATAGATATATATATATATAGCACCAAATTGCTACTAATCTACATCTACTGTTACTTTACACATTGAACATTTGCTCTTTTATTAAATAAACGAAACACTTTCATTTTAAGTTGTGAGTTTAGTGTTATTGACCCTAAGAAACACTGATGCATTAATCAATAACAATAATCCACAGCTCCTCTCTCTGCTCCAGAGGATTTCAAAAAAAAAAATATCCCAATGGCACCCATCGTCCCCCCCCCCAGGCAGCACCCCGCCAAAGCAGTAAACCTAGGGGAAACACTGCACTGGATTAGTACATTTACGCTGTGGAGGGGTAGTTATTTAGAAACAGTCAAAGGTGAATGTCTATTCCTATTGGGACAGATGCACTAACATTTGCTCACTTTAATGCTCTAAAAAAAAAAACTTGGGGTTTTAATAACCCCACTGCTTGTCCTTAAAGGTGGGGTAGGTAATTTTGGAGAAACCAGCTCGAGTGCGCTAGAATTTGAAAATACACAACCGGAAAAAATCTGCCACTTCCGTTACAGAGCCCCTCCTCCAACGACACACGAACGAGTGCCCATGACCAATGAGGGCACGAGATAAGTTTGTGCACAGATGGAAGGCTGACAGGCAGGTAGGCCATCCAGTTACTTTAGCCGGGCCGGCTAAAATGATTGGTCGTGCTTTTTACAGTATACTACGGCTACCACAGATTACATTTTTTAATGGATTTTTTGTCAAAGCACTACAGATATTCATTGCTATCGGGATGTTAAGAGCATTCCATGGAATATAACAAAAAGTGTATCTCGAGCCGGTTTCTCAATCTTACCTACCCCACCTTTTAAGTGCCATAATTAGAACACAATTCAAATGTAAAAAAACTACTCTTCTTATTCTCAACAACAGGGTGCTGTTTATTGTCCATCAAATTCATATTGAACAGTTACCTGCTGCTAGGGTCAGAAGAGACTTTGGGCTTATCACTTCATTACTATTGTTTGATTAACTAATTGCTATTCTTTGTTTTTCCTTCTTCCCCTCTTCTGTCCTCTCTAAGTGGGATGCCATCACAGAGATGGACGAGCAGAATCGGCCAATCCATACTTTCCAGGTGTGCAATGTGATGGAGCCCAACCAGAACAACTGGCTGCGCTCCAACTGGATTTCTCGACAGGCCGCCCAAAAGATCTACGTGGAGCTTCGCTTCACCCTGAGGGACTGCAACTCCATCCCTTGGGTGTCTGGCACCTGCAAGGAGACTTTCAACCTCTTCTACCATGAGACTGACGAGGCTCACGTTGTCAAATTCAAGCCCCAACAGTACACAAAGATCGACACCATTGCTGCTGATGAGAGCTTCACTCAAATGGACCTCGGAGATCGCATCCTCAAGCTGAACACTGAGGTGCGTGAGGTGGGACCCATGACCAAGAAGGGCTTCTACCTGGCATTTCAGGACATTGGTGCCTGCATTGCCTTGGTTTCAGTGAGGATTTATTATAAGAAATGTCCGTTCACGCTAAGAAACCTGGCCTCATTCCCGGACACAGTGCCTCGTGTGGACTCTTCCTCTTTGGTTGAGGTGAGGGGGGCTTGTATTGACCATGCTGAAGAAAGAGACACACCCAAACTGTTCTGTGGAGCTGATGGAGACTGGCTGGTGCCCCTGGGAAGATGTGTCTGCAGTGTTGCCTACGAGGAGTTTGATGGCTCTTGTTCTGGTGAGTTTTTCAACTTTTTTATTTTATTTTGCATTTAACTCATCAATGCTATTCTTGCTGTACTGAGAAAAGTGCATTTGTAATCGAAACTGGCCATGGTTTTTAGTGTGTGGAGCTTGTCTGTTATATGGTCCAACTAAAAGGTTTAGGTTTGTCAGAATACAAGCCTCTGACACAAGCAAGCCTTGATGGTTTGACAAATATGGGAGGACAAACAAGTGTTGTATATGTGAGAAACAAAACTTTAAGACATAGTCAGGGTTTTTACCCAAAATAAATGATGAATGCTTTTTTCTTTTAGCGTTAACCAAAAATCACATAAAGGGTATTTGGTTCTTTCAGAATGTATCACTTGTTTTTAAGGGTTCCAGTATTTCTTCCTCTATTTGCTACTTAACAACTACGGTGGATTGCACTGTCGTGCAGGAAGCTGATTTACCACCGTCGTCAAATGTAGCTTTTTCATATTATTTATCTTCCCCCCAATTGCAAACATTACGTATGTTTCATCCTTGTGTAATTCAGTCTTCTGTGTGTTCCCAAGTGTTCATTTAATCTTGTATCAGGATGGTACGACAAACAGTTTGAAATAGTAACCTGACCAGGAAGACAGCCATTTATTTTGTGTACGTGGTGATGCTTCAGCGAGTCAGATGGATAAGCAATGTGGATAGATGAAGTGGCTGATATAATATCTACAGGCTTCATTTACATTCACCTCATGCATTTTAACAATGTGTGCAACAACCTCAAATCATATAGGTATGATGTATTATATGTCTATCTTTCCACAAGCCCATATATTCCATACAACTATACGTACGTATGGATTGTACTACTATGCTTTCATACATCAACCGTTTACAAAAGCAAGTTTGTAATGAAGAGGGAAGCTTTAATTTTCCCTCTTCATTCCCTCCTGCTCCTCATCACCCCTCCTTCATTTTTCCGTTATTGCCTGCTGCTAACTCTGGAGAATCAGATGAGATCTCATGTGAGGGGATTAGAGTGTTTTGGGCTGTAAGTGTTATGCCGGAGAGCTCCCCTGATTCTGTCTTAAGCGATATTAGTGAGTGTGTGTGCACGCAAAAAAAAAAGCATGCCTATAAATATATTTGTAATCTAAAATGTCTTGTGCTTGGTCTGTCAGTTACCAAGATGCATTAACACTTTTTCTAGTTTTGAAATACATTTTGTTCTGTGATATTCAATTGACTTTTGTTGGACATTTGCCTTCTTTTGTATTGGCCTTTTGGATACTGCAAGGATTCCAAAGAGATCATTTCCCCACGGCTAAGATGCACTCAGCTGTAACTGTGGTTATAGTACATACAAGATAATTGCTAGGGCTTGTTTTTCGATAACACAAATCTTAACAGTGTTGTCGGGAAAAGCAAATGCTTGAATGGTTGCTTTTGGGTTCATGTAATTCTCCAAAACAAATAAAACGACTAAAGTTTTGATCCTGTTCATTTGTGCTGGAAATATTTGGTCAAAATATTGCTTTTGAAATGCAAAAACTATAATCTTCAGTGTGTTTATGTAATTTACACGGAGCAGTGCTTTTGTCATACTGTGACACATAGTGCTGTTGTATCCAACTTAAGGTCCAGATATCAGAAGTCTTCCTATAGGAATTGGTGCTGTGTGTGTGATTTATATATACTGAGAAAAGGTGTCTGTATGTGATCGTGCAAGCATCTAGGAAGGTTGTTGTGTATATCAGTGGTCCAACACCTGCTGTCCCAGGAGCTTCCATGGTGTGACAGATTACTTCGGCTGGCTTGGTTCCAGTTTGATCCTGAACCCTCTGATATGAGCTTTGGGTTATTGCTGGTAGTACCACTCACTGGAACGCTATAGTGCAAAAAAAACCTACGTTCATGAAGGCCCAACACAATCGCTCTTTAAGCCATGTACAAGCCATTGAACTGCTTTGTTTTTGTAAACTGTGTTTATTTTATGGTAGATAAATCCGCAATCTACAAACATCCAAATGTACTCACTGAAAACCAAACAAGGGCTTCATTCACCGACTTATCAGCTGGAGTCTAAGCTTTCTCTCATCCTGATAAGTGATAATACAATGTCTGATGTTTAATTACTTACACTGATTTTAACACCGGCAAATGTTTCAAAATCTGCAAACAGTATAAGATTAAAACAAGATATGTGTCAAGGTGCCAAGTGTATGAGTGTACAGGCCGTAAATCATTTTGGTCCTCTCACACACATACATTTTCCTTTTACACACATACATTCTCACTCTTACACACATACATTCTCTTTTTACATACATATATTTTCACTCTCATACACATATATATTTACACTCACACATTCATACATTTTGCTCTCATATTATCATATTTCCATCCACACATTCATACATTGTCACTCACATATTTATACATTTTTCACTCACATATACATTTTGCTCTCATATTCATATATTTTAACGCTCATATTTATACATTTTGCTCTCATGCACATTCATTTAATGTTTACATTTAATATGATAAATAATATATGCATGTCTGAAGACAATATATGTATGCAAGAGAAGAATGCATGTATGTGTGAGAGAAAGTATAGTGGAAAAGGAAGGAGTATGGTTGAAACGGAAGGCAGGTCATTCTCGCGCTGTGATTGGATCAGAAGGTTGAGCGGGGCGGGCTCATGTTCAGAACTTCGGATTCAAATCAACAAGATAGAGGGAGATGAATCTGTGTATCTACGGACAATTTGTTTTTCTTTATTAAAAAAGTAAACGGAAGAGCGTCTGAGAGGCTTTTTGTTTTTTACCTTACTAAATGGTCTATTGGTCAGTGGAGCGAAAGGCGGGGCGAAACTCACGGCAGTGATTTCAAAACAAAAGCACTCGTTTGCTTGGAACTGTGATAATATTATAAACAAGGGGAAATGAGGTGAATTTAGCGATTACAACGAAAACAGCCAAGACACGCTTTGAGCCCAGAAAATGAATGTTATTAAGGGCTGTAAATATAATAAGCCTGTGTCTAAAATGGAAGACATCGTTAGGAGATTTAAACTATACAGCGGTTCTGGACTGCGGTCACTCAGCCGTCTCTCGAGTTTGTTTTTTCAAATCAGCAGCCCTTCCTTTTTTTTCCTGCTATATTTTACGAGTGATACAAATATTTTTTACCACAAGTTGTTAATACAACTGACACTGTTGGACTCGGTACTAGTTGACTTGTGTGTAAGAGTGAACATATATGAATGTAAGAGGAGAATGTATGTGTGTGAGTATGAATTACGGCCTGTACAAGTGGACACAAATACAGTGTTTCATCTATATCGGGCTGCCACTTTTTTAATCTAAAGGCTGTACTCTTACTTAAAGTCCATGAAATGTCCAAAATAAACGTTATTCTGTGTTAATAAATCGCTTCATCACTTTCCACTGTTTCATTTGACATATCGACATCAATGATTCTTTCCATAAATACCCCCCAAATAACATGAAATGTGTGCCACTTTCCCGTGTTATTCCGCTCCGGTAGCAAAAAGCTTGCCAGCCATTAACCCAGNCCCTGCCCATTCACAGATTCACTCCACATGTCAGACCACAGTAAGGAACTACGAGCGCTGCCTCCCCCTCCTCGACGAGTTTAAAAGAGAAAACACCTTTCACTTAGTCTTTTATTAGCCCCATCCCCCAAACGTCGTCTAAGCTAACAAAACGCAACTCATTGACAATATTCAAAATACATCACGTCAAATATTCACCACCCTTAAATTTAGTTACTCACGCCATACTCCTTATTTTAGGCAAGTGGTCAACATTCTTGGTGATCGTAAACAACTACCTAAAGACCACCCACAATTTCTCGTAAACTAAAGTTACACTCTTCACAATATCCTCTCTACTCAACATTGAACTCCGCGTCCGTCATATGAAAGCAAGCACCTTACTCCCTTCCTCTCAACATTGCGACGTTTCCAGACCACCCCCAGAATTTCTCACTCCTGGTAACTAAACCTACCAAATTCATCAGCCCCTCTCTACTCTGAACTTCTACGCTTTACAATACGACAAAACACCGCAGCCCCGCCCTGCCTCTCATACTGTTTTACAGGCCAAACGCCTCAGTTCTAAGAAAAGTAAAGTCTGAACTTAAAAGTCCTGAAACTGTCAAAATAAAACCGCCGTTATTCTGGTTCACTCAAATCCGCCTTCACTCACCTTTCACTCAAATCCCGCTTTCATCTTTCCACTTTTCATTTGACACATATCCAACTATTCTTCCCTCCATACAATACCCCCCAACAATACACATGACATGTGTGCCCACTTTCCCGTGTTACTTTCCGCTCCGGCTACAGCAAAACCGCGTCTGCAGCATCTAACCCAGCCTTGTGACGTCACACCGTGGCAAACACCAGACTCGTCTGGATTGTTTGTTTTGTATCCTTCGCTAATCTCTTCGCTCAACCATATGTCCCGTAACCGACCCCTCGCTAAACTTCTTTCTTATCGCAACAATCTCATGCTGGTGAAGCGATGTGGTCACGTAGTTCAGTTTTGTGGTAATTCAAGCCTCTCAGGTCACAGTGTGCACGAATTTCCGAAACACACAGCTGTTAGACGTCAGTGGATCCGTTTTGTACAGACCAAAAGAGCGAACTTTCATCCGCCGCACGAGAAATCACAAGCTGTGATATGTGGTAGCCATTTGACACCAGACAGTTTTGAAGGAGCTTTGATGGTGGAATTAGGCTACAAGACCAAAAAAACGCTTAAGTTAGATGCTGTACCCACCATAAACCCTGAAAAACCGGCCGAAACTCCAAAAGCATCAGGCGCAAAGAGATCCAGATCTGCTGCATGTTCTGGCAACGACTGCCAGCAATGTTGACAGTTTCTTCACTTCGTCAGGCAAAAAACGAAAACAAGTGGGTGATACTTCATAATAGTGTACTTCAAATAAAATTGACAATATCTCTATGCTTATATACTGTAATAACATAATACCTTGCAGACTGTCAAACTGGTGATCAGCCATCAATATTATACATTTTTCTTTTGTGGTGATTGTTTCTACTCACTCATATCACTGATATTATTGCCTAATACATTACATTCTGCTGTTTATGTCTGTGCTTGTTGGTTGGGTGTCGTGACCTACATTTCGTGCAATGCACTTCTACTGAACCAGTAGGCACAGTGTTCCAACATCCAGGTTCTGCTTTATTCTGGTTGATCAGATTAGCATTAAAGATATTACTATCATTAGTAGAGAAGCTGAATTAAAGCCCTAAGAATTTAAAAACACTTTTGAGCTGTGAATTCTTCCTGATTGCTATAAACATTGATCATGGGTGCTGGAAGATTGTGCACAAAACTCGGGTCAGAATTAAATTACTACAGGTGTTATGCCAGCTTGAGCTAAATGTCACCAGAGTACAGTGAACTTGCCTAGTGACTGAAATATATACAAGTTGAAGTCGAATAAGTAAGGCCAAAAATGAATTACGTCTGAATATCTTTATTATTTTTACCACTTTTAATTGTTTGTGGACTCGCACANGTCAAATATTACAAAAAGCAGGTTTTATATAAATATTAGACATATGAACAAAAAAACGTAATCCTTCATAAGCTATATGGTGCGAATAGCTGTCAAACATGCTAACCACCCCGACCCCACATGACCGCGCGTTTTAGTCTCAGGGGCGACGCGACGACATTGGCTCTATCCGCTTCTTGGAAAGGAATGGGACTTGCGCGCCTTGCATAGTCCCTAAAGTTACCGGTTTAGACATTAACTGTATTCAGTAAGCGTCGACTTGACCAAATGTTAACCAAGTGTATACTTTATTAAATCGTTTCATGCGAGTAAAATGTTATAAACTAGAAAAAGCTTTGTCTTTGTACATTTATATGGGACTGGTCGTGTTGTAAAAGGTTTAGTTGTTCAAACCATTCTAACATAAATTTAAATCGACAAACACTATATTTCTTTCGCCAAGAAAACAATTAAAAAGTGAACATTCGTAAACTAAAATAACGTCACATGTAATCATAGATGAAAACCATACTACTACCGCTCAGTGTTGTAATTTTTAGAGAGGTATGTAGTACTATTATGTAGCAATGTTTACAAATTGGCTAATAACATGATATTTTTATTTTACTTGTACAAAATAAATATGAGGTTGTACATGACTGCTTGACAGAATCATAGACCTCTTATATATTTCCTCACATGTGTAGTTGTTTCTTTTCCCAAGCATACATTGAACTTGCGAAAACAGAAAACATAAAAGCCAAGCTGTTTTTGACTGCTTGAAAGAGTTTAATGGTATCTTTAAAAGTGTACCATCATATCTGTAGCGACTAAAAGTATTATATGAAAGCAAAGCTGCAATAGGCAGTTGGGTCAATCAATATTTACTTACTGGTGTAGTGGGCCATCAACTGCTCTGTGTTGTTGTTTGTATTGAAGATACGCTATTTTCAGTGTCCAAACACTGAGACAGCCTTCTCTAAAGCCTGGGTGGCTAATAATGCACCTTGGTTTCTCGTCGGTGTCTTCTGTCTGGTCAGTAGGTTGCAAACTGTATATTTGTTCCATCACCTGCCAGATCTCTCTGCAGCATACACATTCATCTGCAGTGGGCATGCTTTCACAGCATTGACATGTACACCTGAATATTGTACATAACATAAAAAAAAAACAATATCTGCCGGACGTGTGAGGAACAGATGAAAAATTAAGATCGACATTTAGTGCAGGTCAAATTAAATAAAACAGAATTTACCATTCAGTATTGCCGACTCGAGTCTCGCCGGCTGCGGAATCCGCTTCTCTTTCACAAGTTTCTGCCTCGTTGTTCGATTGCCGGGCAGGAGGCTCGTACTGATAAGGCAAGATGCCTTGAAGTGAAAGGCTAGCTGGTTCACTCTCTACTTCTGTAACTGAATCCAGATAACCCACCAAATCTGAGCTTGAATGATCCCTATCGCTGTCTGAAGTTGTCACGTTGCTTGCCTTGCCATTTTGACTGATTTTATCAAATGGCAATATTTGCCACGTGTGACGTCACCGCTCGTTCGGGAGTGATCGGGGGTGTACTCGGCAAACTTCGGAACCAACATCGTTTTTTAACGTATATGTCATTTAATTATGACCAAACCTAAAAAAAAAATATATATATATTTATTCTGGTGATATCTAAACTACATGTTAAAAAACACCTGTGTTAGATGCATTACATGGCCTTTAACTTTTACCAGAATAAAGTAGACAGACAATAGATTGTAGAATTAGCTCACAGTGGATGACACAGTCTTATTTTGGTCCTCCCCACATCGCTCCAACAGCGTCTCCAACTACAGCCTTGCTTAGTGCTCTTTTGAAAAATGATTTCAAGACTATTCAGTGCTCTTCTCCCACCATCCAGAACCAGATGTCCTTGTACAGTTGATTACGTTTCATCTTGTGGTATGGGCCGGCACGGCTCCCCAGCTGCACTCACATCTGCAGCGCAATCAACGGGCCAGGGGTTAAACTGCAGCTGTGATTAGAGCTGGACTGTACCAAAATTGTTATTTCATGCATTTCTGTCCCTTTTAATATTTGTCCCTATTTGTATTTATCATTTTTGGTTGACAAAAAATTACATAGGATGAATTAACCGGCTAATGAGGAGTTCAAAGTCAAACCAAGATTTTTTTATTTCATCCTGTTCTTTATCAGAGTGTACATTTAGATCAGGATCAGAATACCTTTATTAGTCCCACAGAGGGGAAAAAAGATTTTGGGCAGTACCAAATTAAACCATCCCCACTGTGTTCTGCAAGTGCATTATAAAAGACAGGAAATTGTCCATTATTTAAGTATTTACCTTAAATATGTCTTGGGAGTGTGTCAGTTCTGATCTTTGCGATGTAGAATAATAAGCAACCACAACTTGGTCACCTTTCAGTCTCCTTTTATGCCCTATAAAAACGTGCCTCTGCTCCTCTCTCTTTTCTATCCATCACTCTTTGCTCTCTCAAAAGGAGATTTCACAGTTGGGTTAAGTTTAGCCCTTTAGGCGTTGTGATGGCATTTTGCCGCAATGGCAGCTCTGAAATGCAGCCCTTGTTAATTGTTCCGGGATTCAAATAAGCGTTGTTATTAAAAGCCTCCGCACAAGGTACCAGTGGAGCGCCTTGGGTATTGAAGGAGAAAAACTGAGGTGGCTGGCCAAGCTGATGCTTCAATTCCCAGTTTACTACTGATTTAAATGGGTTAGCCTAACCCTAACCCTGATTGGATAGGAGAACAATTACTGGTGTGAATAATCTGTAATATCTGTAAAATACCATTGTAGATAGTTTTTTAAAGCGCAACATTGACTTTTGTGCTCCTCATATCTGGTTGCTTATGTGTTATGTGATTTAATGTTCATGCTGCTCACTGTAAGTCACAGGTGACAACAATGTAACTGTTAATGCATGTTAAATAGAGGATATAATTGCTGTTTTCTATTCTGAAAATGTTTAATAGCAGGGAGGCTAAATGTTGAGTAACCTTCCATATTTTCATTCTTTAATTACAACAGATTCATGTGAATTATTAGAGTATGAGGTGTGGGCCAAAGTTCTCCTTAGCACATTACTCAGGTCTCACAAATAGTGTTGCAGATAGGTTTGGAATTTAAACTATTTTCATTAAATAACACCGCATACCAAGCCAGAAAAACAACTACTCCAGTTCTGACTTGCAAATGTTTATTTATACTAGAGAAAAAGATGAGTGTCTGAAGTGTAAATTCAAGGCTTTAGCTCCACTGAGTTAGGAAAAAAGGCCATGCTCTCCACCCAGCTAAAGCCAAATATTATATTTCTCTAATTCAAACCCAGTGATGTTGCTCACAATGGTACTTTCATCTCCAATCATTTCCTGGATGGAGTCAGTGTCAGTGTGCTGCAGTAAGGCTGAAGTTAATCAAATCTATCAGCTAACAATAACCCCAGTAACCCACATCTCAACTGGCATGCTCCTCCGTTTATAGACTCAGGCTGGCAACCTCTTCAGTTCAGTTCACATGTCTTGTTTTTTTTGTTGAGGATTTCCATTTCACAAGGATTTTTATGTGAACGCACCCACATGAGCATGCATTTAATGAAATAAACCGTTTTTCCATGTTGACCATGCAACAACATAGTGTTATTTTGTGTTTTATATTTACTCTGGAGGGACTCTGGTGTTTGGATGGATGTAATGAATGAATGAATTAAAAGGAGACATGAAGAGGTGGAATGCAACCAGAGTGCTCGTCTCATTCTCTTCTACTGACTGATGTCTTTAGAATGTAACCGCATCCAATCAATGACCAGTGAGTGATGTTCAGCTCAGCCAACTCCAACACAATCATTCCTGGGCCATCACAGTAATACCACGTGTCAGGGACTTGTGAAGGGCCATACACTTTGACAGAAAAACTAAATGTGGAGACCATGTTCTTGATTTCAAAATACTGGTACAATTCCTGAGTTGCTCCTCTTGAAAATGTGTGTCTTTCTCTTTTTATCCCTCTCTCTTTCCCTTGCAATCATTCTCTCTTGCTCAACCCATCTTTTTTATTTTTCTCATCCACATGAACATGATGGATAGCTCTCATGCTCCACATCTGACCCTTTGATGGTCACATTGCTTACTGGATAGTGGTGCTAAGGTACCTATGTTTAATAGAAGCAATTCATTGTTTTGGCCGATATGGACACACGCTCACACTGCTATAGGGCCATTTAGCCCCCATCCCTGCACCTTAATGATACTATCAAATAGTTATTTGTGTTCTTTATCTTAAATTTTAGAGACCTAAACAAATACAAAAAACGTATGTATATTTATATAAATCTTTG